ACAATGTTTAAACGTTAAACCTATATAAATGTGCGCTATATCCAATAGTTTGTGCGGAGAGTGGAAGCTAAAGCGCGCTTTGCAGGACATGGCGCCAGCGCAATCACTAAGAGTAATACATCATTCATAACTGTAAAGGGTCTACTTTTATTTGTGTGCACTCACAATATCAACAAAAGGTTGTGCTTTTATAAAATAAAGAAAACAAACATGATGTGCTTTCTGCCGTCTTGTCTTGGACAGGAGCGCTTCACAAAAATGAACCGAAACTCAGCGAATACATGCCTCACAGACATGATAAATATATCTATAGAAAGCTTTAACTACTTAACGAAATAAAACAAATAGACTAAAACAAAAACTGTTTCATCATAATCATAATCCGTAAAGATGCACTTTTCTCTAAAGGCGCGTCTAATGAGATGGCGAGTCAGGATCGGCAACTTCATCCTTGCGACACCGACTCAGAAAACACTAGTTTATTAGTAAATAATTCAAATATCTCCTTATTATTTCCCCCGACACGTTCATGGTAATTACTTTTGCTGGGGCGTTGCGGCAAGCTTTAGCCTATTGCGTGCATTTGAACACAGAACTGTTCAGCTGCGCTGACGGCACGCACCATACATGCTGCTGCTGGACACTAAACACCGTCGAGCCGCTCTTGACAGTCGCAGTAGCACGGTCTCGTGATGTTTCCACCAGCGCAGCAATTTTTTTTCATCACTAATTGATGGATGTCTAAAATATAAAAATAAGGAGAAGCCTAAAACAGGTCTGAGGCCTGGCCCGTGTCTTAACTATGACGTGAAAATGGGCCCGAAGCCCGGCCCTAAAGGCGTAAAAAAGTCGGGGCCCGTCGGGCCCGGGCTGAAATGCAGGGCTCTAGCGTGTCCTTGGCCAGAAGAAAACGATTTGACTGAAAATTTATCAGAAGAGATGAAAGAAAAATAGTGGTCATCTACGCAATTCGGAAAAAGAGGCGGCTTTTCTGCATTAGGTATACCAGCGCAGCAATTTTTTTTCATCACTAATTGATGGATGTCTAAAATATAAAAATAAGGAGAAGCCTAAAACAGGTCTGAGGCCTGGCCCGTGTCTTAACTATGACGTGAAAATGGGCCCGAAGCCCGGCCCTAAAGGCGTAAAAAAGTCGGGGCCCGTCGGGCCCGGGCTGAAATGCAGGGCTCTTGCGTGTCCTGGTCCAGAGGTAGTCGAGGACGCATTGTGATCGGATCTCAGTGTAATGTAAACGCAATCCAGCCATCGTGTCTGCATTCGCAGGTCGACATCACGCAAAACGCCGCCCCCTCTCTCCCGATCTGTCGGAAGAACAGAGCACTAGTGAGACTCGTACATTTATTTTGATTTGTAAAACGCGACTGAAAATAGTTTTCAAAAGAAAACCCACCACTTCAGGTCGACTTTGCACCCCAGACCAATGATTCCTAATTGCATCTACTTCCGGAAGGCCAAATAAAGTGCTTTTGCTTTCGTACTGAAATGCAGTGTCTCCCCGACATGCTGCATCAACACTACCGCTGTTCCTGAAACCACGCTTCTTTCTTTGCGTGCACATTTGGGCGCATTATGCTAATATTTCCACATAGTGACGTAGACATGTGGGGGCGTTAGAACGAGCCGTTTTAGGTAGGCTGGTTGACTCTTAACTGTTATAAAGAATATCTCTTTGGATTTGAGACTTTAGTCTTTGCAACTTTACAGATCTTCTTTATGCACCAAGGGCTTGTAACACTTCAAAGAGAAAGGAAAACTTGAAATCGCATCATATAACCCCTTTAAATATTGCGCTGGAAATACAGATCCGATCGGTTATCCAGATAGAGAAGGCAGCTGATGTTGCCAAGTGTAAACGCGCAGTGTCCTGATTGACTGATGATCCGATCTGCTTGATCAGATCACGGTGACCGCATGTTAATGCCAAGTGTAAACTGTCTTCTGTATGAAACCTCACTCCTTATAATTAAGCAGGCTGGTTTTATTATAAAGCAGTAAGCACTGAAATACACTAACTTTTAATGGACTGATGTAAACATGGACTTAATGTTTCTAGAATTTTCTTACTTTTTTGTGTTTTCTCCTTGTGAAAGGAAACCAAACTGAAGGCAGCGCTCAACAGAGACATTGTTGACAAGAAGAAGGACATCTACTCATCAATACAAATAACAATTGTGAATGAAATGGCTTCTTGCTATCAGCGTAAGCTAGCATTGAGTTACAATTAATCACAAATTATTTGAATGTAAATTGTTATTTAGTGCAGAAAAGAAAACACCTTTCATTAATAAAAAGCCACCCTGCATGTCACAAAATACATTTCTTTCATGAAACGCACATCCAAGACTTGATTTATTTGCTTGTTCTGATGTGTCTTCATGAGAAAGAAAATGAATGAATACAGAGTGTTGTTTATTTTAGAAGCTGCAGCTGTGAGAGGAACAGGATCCATGAAGAAAATGCAAGACCTGTTAATAAACACAGTCGATCAGAAAAAAGAAGGCATGTTCAAAAAAGCAAAAATGGAAGTGCTAAAAAAGTTCAATAACTTAAAGGTACTGATCTCACATTCATTAAGACGATCATGTATTCAGCTGTACAATGACTAAAGACAAATGGAATCTTCTCTTGTTTCTTTGTAAAGCTGCACATAAAGAGTACTCTTGAAAATGAACTACAGAAAGCAATAGAACGCTCACAATCACAAAACAGCAAAAAGACACGGATGGGTAAGAATGTCATCCTACTACACCACAGAAACAAGTGTTTAAACAAATAATCTTTTGCAATCTGAAGTATTGATTGATTAATCTCAGTCATTGCCTCATGTAATATCTTCTTATATGTCTTTCTAGATGTCTCCAGAGAGATTGAAGAGCTGGAGAGACTTCTAGATCATCTGTCTGACTGATGCTCATCAAGCAAGAGAAACAGCACAAATCACAAAAGAAACATAACTACTGTATTGTGCAACAAGTGTAACACATTTACAGCCAATGTTTTCTTTAGTTTTAGAACATTTTTTTTTACTCAAATGTGTTTGTGTTCATTTCATTTTCATCAAATTTCTGAACTTTGGGGTTTATTATAGGGGCTGCATGATATACAAACTGTATACTGATTTGTTGTTTTTATTATAACTGTTTTACAGCAAGACATGTAAAGTACACTTAAAAATGTAACTGTCTCATTTTCAAGAACCTGAATACATTTGATTCATTTACAGTATAGATTGTAATGTAATTGCAAAGGCCTTGCTGAAACATATGCTGTAGTGACAGTCAAGACAGGCTGTCAAGATATTTCTAATTTCTTGATGTATTTACAGTGTTAGAAAAGCTTTAAGTCAGAATAAAAAATAAATTCTTGTCTTCCCAATTTTGACATATACTGTATCTGAGTGAAATGACTTCTCAAACAAGAAGAAAAAATAGGACGGGGCTTGATTGTCAAGCGAGAACTGAGTGGATTGTACAAAGTGTATAAAGTTTGCTAAATGCTGCTGCGATTGTTGCATGTGAGTGACAAGTTGTTGGTGGGGAGGGATTGAAACCACTGATTTATAACAGAGAACAATTATACATTTATACATAACATATATATAGATCCATGATTGAAATTCATGTGGTTATTGGACACCCTTACTGCCGTTTTCAAACCGCAGCCTAAGGGCAAACACAGCACTATGAAAAAAGAGAAATGCAAACAATTAGTAAACTCCTGTATTTCCTGAGTAACACACTTGAATGTTATGTGAGTCAACATCAAAACTACTGCTGCTGATGTTCATAATGTACCTCATCCAAATATGGTAATGCTGATGCTGTTGAAATGTTAATAATTATTCATGATTGTCTTGATCATGAAAACTTAACCCTTGTCCTGAAGAAATTGTGGTTTCAGTTAGAAGGCTTTCTCAGAAATGTAACATCAGGTCCTTGACTGATAACAGACCTGAAGCCTTTACTTTTGAACTAATGAAGTTCTTTGAGTGTCTGATATGCAAACATTTGACCTACAGGATGAACAGCAAAGCTTTGTTTTCACTTCATGTGCTTTCACTTTTATTTTCTCGGAAACTTGTAACTATTATTTTGTCAGACTAAAGTTCAGGATTTAGTAATTAATTAGTAAACCATTTGTCACTGAGCAAGAAGTCCACACCCATATGTGTATTAGATCTAACATCAAAAGTCTTATTCTTTGCTTAACTTGGAAACTGAATTGTAAGACTTGTCCTTTCCCAGAGACATCATTCATACAAGGTAACTTTTCCCTGATATTATCATATTTTAATTTTAAAGCCTTATTTAGTCTAATAGTTAATAAAAATAAAAATAAAAAAAACATTTAGTTCATTTTGTTATCATTTAGTTAACATAGTTATAGTTTTTATTTTCTTTGAATAAACTTGGCTAAACAAGTAACACTGCACTTCTGCAGGCAAAGCAAATGCATACAGAGATAAAAACTTTTTATAGTAAGAACTATTTGCAAAAACTGGGTGGTAATAATGAACCAATTGCATTTTAATCATCTACTTAATATGAAATGAATTATTTTGTTCTGTTCCGAGTCATTTCTGCTGCCAATTAATTTAGAAGAATTACATAATGTTAACAAGACTTTAAAACCTTAAAACGAAAAACATTTCTGTTCGAAAATTTCGAAAAACCTAAAATTTACTTTGTTTGCCAGGGGACACAAAATGTGTTTTCTTCTATTGTGACTGACAATAGAACCATAAAATACCCCAAAACCCCAAAATAAAATTACAAAAGTATAAATTATATATATATATATGTGATGTGTGACCGCAACACATCATCATTTGGACTAATTTTGCCACAGCTTTTGACATTTTTACAGTAAATAAATGACTGTGATTGCAGTTATCCGTTATGGTTTTTTATACCGTACATGTTTTGAGAATGGTTATAGTTGGGTTTGGAGGTAGGATTGGGATTAGGGACTCTTTGCTTTTAATGCTACAACGCTACTAAAACAGTCACGGCCTACATATTTCTGTCCATTATGTTTTATATATTCTTTATAAATTGGTTATGTTTAGGTTTGCGGTAGGATTAAGGGATCTAACATCTCTATACAAACATCTTTATGATATAAAAGATTTGTAAATATTTTATGCAAATATTTAATAATGTTTACTTTTTAGATGTCATCAGTATATACCAGCCATTGTTTCTTTTTAATACATAAACAATGAATGGCAAAATTCTATCCACAATTACAAAGAAATTCTGTATAATCAATTATGATGTTTCTTATATAGTACAATAACTGTATACTCACAGATACCCAAAGAAATGGAAACATTTTCCATTAGCTCCTCTCTTTGTTCTTCCTGGCTTCTATTGAATAGAGCAGCTTTATATTTTATAATGCTGTGAGCTGCTTATCTCAATAATTATGACTGATGCTTTTATTGGGGAGCTTTCAGCCCCAGTTAAATTCACTTGGGACTTAAACCTCAAAGCTCAAAGCTCAAAATTTATTTCAACACCACATTGTTTTATACTTAATATTCAGTATTTAAAATAAATCAAATCAATGTTTGATTGAGGCATTTGTCCAATTTTCTATAACATTGAAAAGCATATTTTGTTTTCAATCACAGCTAAATATGCTGTCGTGTTTCTTTTTCTTTTTTAACTAGATTGACCATGTATGCAGTTGTGACCTTGCAAAATTCAGAAGAGGTGATGGTGGTAGCATCAAACTGGTTGAGCATAGACAAGAAACAATGTTACTGGCCTCCATTCAAATCAACAGAGAAGTGTATGGAAGCTGTTCAGAACAGAGATGAGCCTGCAATAGGATGGGAGAAATGAAATATTAGCTTTCACGGAGAACATGGTAAGAGCTACAATTTCAAAATTACATCAAAATTAAATGTAGGAATATTTATTGTTTATTCACTTCTCAAATATTTATCTTATTGCAGCCTTTTGATCAGGCTGAGGAGCATCAAAAACAAGTTAAAGAACAGTATAGATCCATATATTTATTTTCAATAAATATTTGTTTAACACATTTTTTCAAAATTTGTTAATACTTTTTTGCTTAACAAATTATTTATTTTTTTAAATAAAGGCCATTTCAATTAGCCACTGAATTCCCTGGAACAGCAAAAAGACAGAAACTTGAGTACACTCAAGGACTGTCAATTAATCAGTTTCACCTGCCTTCTATGCCAATTACTTCCAGAATGTCAGCTGACGGTGAGTCATCATATTTGGTCATATAATCAAATAAATGCAAAGTTGTTGCTTGCTCTTTTTTGTACTTACACTCTAAAAAATGCTGGGTTGTTTCAACCCAACTTTGGGTCAAATATGGACTAACCCAAATTTTGGGTTAAAAATTTAATGTAAAAATTTAACCCAACGGTTGGGTTAGTCCATATTTGACCCAAAGTTGGGTTGAAACAACCCAGCATTTTTTAGAGTGTACAGTTTATTTGACACAACAGGCAAGGATGAGCTCCTCCAAATGCTGAGAGACATTAAGAGCACGGTTCAGGAAAACTCTGCTATGTTAAAGAAACTACTCAAAGAAAATACGGTTTCTGAGGTCCCCAGCAGTACCAGCCGGCCCTCTAAAGATGTTAAAACAAACCCAAAACTGCCTCTTAGAACCTTTGATGATGTGTCCAGGATTGAAAGAGAGCTCAGCAATGTAAAAACACGCCAAAAATATGTGAGTCAACACAGCATTTAAAGAAGGGAAATATACGGTCGGCCAATCATTATGACAAAATAAACAACACTTGAATCATAAAGGGGTTTATTTTGCAATAATGACAAGCTGATTGTACATTATCCTTCTTATACATGGCTAATTATCAAATAAAGACATAAATGGATATGAAATGTTGTTTGGAATCCACACAGAAATTAAATGTCATAGCAACAAAACAACAATGTTAAAATGTATACATTAATCTGCATTATTATGAATCTGTTTTGATGGACTTGCTAGCTCACATATTAGAGAACATTATAAGTTCTCTCTCACCCAGCTCTGGTTCTTTACAGTCAGTGCATGATGGAGCAAATGAAAGATATAAAATTAGCATCATTATGTTGGCATGAACAATAGTCAGATATAAAGTGTAGAAATACATTTGACCGCCCATTATACAAAATATTTGACCACCCAATGCAGTAACCTGGAGAGTCATGTAATAATAATATAAAAAATATCTTTGCAGGTGAAGTATCTGTCAGGACGTGGAGGTTTTGGGCAAAAGGATGTAATTAAGTACATAATGCAACATGTCATAATAGATGATCTGGCTAAGGAGTTCAACTGGCAGGGGAGAGGAGATAAAAGGCCCTTCTCTAAGCTTATTTTAGCAGATGTGATCAGAGGTAAACTTACCGCTGCATGAACACTTTCCACATACTGTACCAAGAATGTTTGGGTTTATTCCGTATTATTTTGTCTGCAGTTGTCTTCACATTCATTAACTTCAATGGTGTAAGCATAAGTAATAATTAAATACCTGAGATGTCTACCATTTTGAGTGTACAACATATTTGCATCTGTATGAGGGTCTATGCAGTTCTTGAGAATGAGAAATTATTTTTCAAGTTTCCTCTTTCAGATGCTGCTCTGAAGCACAAAATTAACTGGGTAGACTGCGAAACTGAATTAAAAAGATATTTACAAAAAATGAGTTACAAGGCTGATCGACTTGGTCGGAAGAGACCAAGAGAGTATGAAGGTGAGTGACAAATGTTATTCGATTGTGTATTTTTATTTATTTATGAATTGTTGCTATTTGATTCACTTAAACCTTCAACTTAAAACTGCAATGCTTAGATTAAATACAAAATGCTCAGCGCAGAAACCTAAAAACATATATAATGCAGCATGAGCATGATTTTACAAAAGAAAAAGTTGGAAACAGAAATAACATTTCAATTTGTTATAGTGTAATACTGCTCTTCTCCATAGCAGGTCTTTATTTAGTCAACTCTTTGTATAAAAATGTTCTTTCCCCCTGCAGGTTCTCAAAATGAAATCCTAAATGTGACATCTCACACAGCCCTTGACAGCACCATCCAGTCAGTCATTGAAAGTCAGCCTTTTTTTGTGTGACCGAGTTTTGAATCAGGCCTAACTGCAAACACATCAACATTTATTTTGTGGAGAACTATATATGTACTAATCTAGCATATAATTCCATTTGCCACTGGGTGCTGTGTCTATATAAATGTAATTTGTAATTGATGCCAAGAAATCATGAAATATTGGAGAATGTGGTTGATGTAATATTTCTGCATGATTGGGCATGTTTTCAGGTGTATAACAGTAGTCACCGTAGCATGTTTGTCTGATTGTCTGATTTCCTCAATATTCAAACAACAGTTTTTTAAATGTGTAAATACTTTGATTCTACATAGGCTGTCTTTTTCAGTTTCTTAAAGATATAATGATTTCTTTAAAACAAACCATAATTTAATAATTTCTCCTCTTTTTTTGATCATTTTGGCTGTGTGAATTCAAACAGCATATTTTTTTTTGGTCAAAATGTAGATTTTTATTGAAATTTTAATTTTACGCTCATTTCCTTTCATAAATCCATTTTACAT